CCATTACTAGAACCTAAACTAACAACTTAACCAAATACTACACATTTAAAGATACGGAAGCAGGTTTAAATGATCAAAGAAATACGGAGATCCCATAAACTCCAAAGGTTTAAATAAATTATCCAAACTAATGCGGAAGAACAACCCCTAGAACCTGAAAGTCATTGTACTAAAACTCTACTAACGACAAGTCTAAGAACAAGGGGTACAATCCCGAAGCTAAACAAAACACCTTAAACAAATAGTCTAAGTCCGAAAAGGGTGGACTTAAACAAGAGAGATCCATGGCAGCCTGAAAAAACTGGCTCACCCTTGAATCCGGTCACGCTTAATAGTCACCTAGCTAGGGTCTATCAATAGCCGCCTGAAGATGCCATGTACTGAACAAAGAACAAGCAAGTGATGTATCAGTACACAACCACAGTGTATTGGTAGGATCATGTAGCTATCCCAATAAGTGAAACACATGCAAGTAACCACAACATTATAAAACAAACATACATCAAACATATATAATGTTAGTCATCTTTTCAAGATCAATGTAGCATTCCACGTTCTCAATAATACACATTGGTTTTCATTTTAGAGCAACATGCAGTCTTTCAATATCAATCATCATTAGATATGAACGTAATCATCACAAGTAGATACACAACACAATTCAATGGTCCTCTCATGGAACTCATACCCAAATTGTTAGTGTACCGGTACGTAGTACCCAATCCAAGTTAGTGTGTCAGATAGTGACACTCATTCTAATGTTTCTGCCAGTACGTGGCAACCGATCCCAGTTAGTGTGTCGGATCATGACACCTGTTCCAATGTTTATGTCAGTACGTGGCAACCGATCCAGTTAGTGTGTCGGAACGTAACACCCGATCCATTCAACAAGCCACAATCACAATCACAAGGACATTCTCATAATCATACAACAAGGTCATGATTCATGGCATTCAATTATTCAATTATCTTCATTCACGATTAGTGTGATCAATAACGCAACATTTGCATACATGCATGCATTATAATGAAGCAAGTACAAACATATATAACACAACATGAAATCACAATCATCACTTATCTCGAACAAAGCTTGAATCTCCTAAGAAACATTATTCTTCCCCTTCCGGATTCTTTCCGCTATTTCTTGGTGTACAAATAATCATAATAATATGAGGATCAATAAATAAGACCCAATTACCTGGATTCTAATCAATGATATCAATCCTAGATCAAACCCTTGACCCTCATACCCAGATTAGGGCTTTTTCCACCATAATTTTCATATCAAAACCCTCTTACATCGATAATCACCCACGAATTTATATTCTACGGATCAAAACATGAATTTGGGGAGTAAAAACCATGCATTTAGCCTTAAGAATGGTTAAAAACAGTTAAGAACTTGTCTGGGGTTGTCTCCTAGCTCTCAAAGTTGAAACTTGCATAATAAAATGATTTTGGGATTTATTTCTAACTTAAATCGCAATTGTCCCGCCACAGCGGACGTCATCCCACTACAAGAAAATAGCAAAATTGTGACAGATGATTCTGTCACAAATCCGTCACAAATTTACATTTGTGACGGAATTGTGACCGAAAAATGGACGTCCCAGAACCTGGGGTCATAAATTCATTGTGACGGATTTCAATTCCGTCACAAAATTATTGTGACGGCATAGTGACAGACCTGACGGTGACAATATAAATCCTTGTATTTGACTTAAATTCTGTCACAAATTTGAGACAAAATTTTTGACCGAATATTCCATTACAAAATAGTGACGGAATAGTTTCTGTAACAAATTTCTAAATATATTCACGATATTTGTGACAGAATATTTCGTTACTAGTAAATTGTGATGGAATATTTTGTCACAAAATTGCTCTCTTGTTGATATTAGTAACAAATTTAGAATTAATTGTGACAGATTAAATCCGTCACAAATTTGATTTTAATTTAATAAATAATAATTGTTATATATAGTATTGGACAATTATTATTTATATATATATATAGTAAATTAGTCAAAAATATAAAAATAATTAACCACCATGATATAACAAACATAATATTAGATTTATAATATAAAATTAAGAAGTTAAAACATGTCAAAGCACAACTTCAATAAGCAAAAGTGGACAAATATTTAAACACATAAACATTTGGTCATTTCCTATTAAGGAGAAGGATTACTAGATGAGCGTGAGGATAACGCCATCTCGCTCATCATGCGAGACCATCGTTCCTCCATAGACTTGAATCGATCATCACTTTGTTGCCTCAAACGCGAGACCTCATGCTCTACTCGTTATTGCACATCTGCCTCTAAACGTTCTTGAAGAATTCTCTCTTGATTTTCTCTCATATGCAACACTTCTTTCTCAAGTAGTTTAATGCGCTCTTCAGCAACATCATCAGACACCGCATGTAAATTGCGCGAAGTGACAGAATTTTGATCTTGATACAACGCCAAACCTTGAGAGCCTAAATCATACACACGTCGTTTTTTTTCTCCACCCACAACATCAAAGTATAAGCGATTTATATCGAGTTCTTGAACTTCTTGTGAATCATCTGAGGAGCTAGAAATAGCCGCAGCTAAGACAACCTCCATTTTATCCTGAAAATTTTCAAACAATCAACCATCAAAAACTCAAGCTTTCCACAAATATGTGCATATTAAGTTTCTTCTAGCAACTCTGTAAGAAAAATGCACCCAAAATACAACACAAACTCTTTAAACAGAACAAAATCTGCCCCCAATAAGGCATAAAATCTATATATAAAAAAAAGGCACAAAATTTGCTTCAAATTGCATTAATAACTGTCCAAATAACTACTCAACATTTGATAAAAAAAGTATGATAAAAATCTGCACAAAAAAATAGCACAAAATCTACCCAAAAACAGCACAAAATCTATCAAAAAATGCACAAAATCTACTTCAAAATTGCATTAAAAACTGCTCAAATAACTACAAAACATATTGTCAAAATTATGATAAAAATCTGCTCAAATTTGCACCAAAAACAGCAGAAAGAGCTGCCACAAAATCTACCACAAAAAAAAGGCACAAAATCTGCCCAAAAAAGGCACAAAATCTATCCACAATAGCACAAAATCTGCTTCAAAATTGCATTAAAAAATTTCCCAAATAACTGCACAACATCTGATCATAACTATGATAAAAAAGCTGCTCAAATCTGAATCAAAAACAGCACAAAGAGCTGCCCCAAAAATTTGCTCAATAGCAACACAAACAATTATAGCAAATCTTCTTAATAGCAACACACACAATTTCATAAAATCTACCTTTTTCTTCTTCAAAAGCTTCACAAAATAAGGATAAGTCCTACAATGTTTGGTTAAAGAAGAGCAGCACACACAACTTACATTAATGCATTTAGACTTGGCATCAACAAAGCTTCCATCCTTTCTTTTATGCAACTTCTTAAATATATCCCACGAATTTGGTGGACGACGTTGTTCTACTGCCTAAAAAACAGAGTTTAATATTAAAATAAGAGATAAGATTAGAAATATATTATAGAAAGTGTTAAATTTGGTACCAATTTTATAGTATGCTCCACTGTTGATCTAGAACCACCGGTATGCTTGCTTGGACCAGTGCCTAGTCCACTAGTCTCACTACATCGATTTCGAGTGGCGATACGAGATTTATCCATCCATTCATCAGAGGCCCAATGCGTCTTCCAACTTCTCCAAATATCCTCCAAAACAAAATTAGGTTTGACTGTACCTTTTCGCCAAATATACATTTTCTTGGAGTATAAAGTGGATGCCACCTTATTCCATGTACGTTCCATTATAGAATTCTCAGTAGGATTCCACTGATATGATTTCTGAAAAAAAAATTACTTAGTGAAATAAACACATAGAGACATATATTAAATAAATTACTTATAGATTTTAAATATAAAGTAGTAGTTACCAAAAATTCATGCTAGTAAAATTTACGAGTTGATTGACTGACATCCTTCCATGAGTAGCCAGTAGCATCTTGTTTTTCCTTGAATGTTTCTGTGATGGTCTTCGAGATAGAATGACCATTAGGAACGAATCTGAAATAAAATTAAAAATAAATAACACATTTCATAATACTTAAATTAGAAAAAATTAGATCAAGTATATAAAAATATCATTTCTTACTTTTCCGCTACAACTGAGATGACCAACCTAACAGATATTGATGAGCAACTAGGAGACCCAATAGAGACATCTGGAGTACTAGGAGTGGTTGGAGTACAAGGACCAGTAGGAGAACCAGCATTTGATGATGGCATATCACTCATATTCTTAAATTTTAATTACCTAGACCTTGTACAATTGCAGCAATAAAGTTCTTGATAAAAAAATCAACTAGCATTCAAATTATATTAGTTCATTATGTAGATATATAATATAAGATGCCCAATACAAATCACAAGATATAATAACAAAACTAAGAAAATGAAGATCACTTGTAGCATAAAACAGTACATTCAACTTTAGATTAATAGAGAAGCTAAATTTAAAAACTTCAAGTGACATTAATCTCAACACTTTCTTCTCTTTTTGTTTTGATGTTCATATTCTTCTTTCCCTTCCTCATTGTCATCCTCATCATCATCATCATCTTCATCCTCATCATCATCATCATCCTCCTCCTCTTCCTCCCATCAACAACATCATCCTCCTCCTCATCATCATTGTCATTATCCTCATCATTTTCTTCCATCTCCCTCTCTTCCTCTTCCCTCTCTCCCTCCTCTTCCTCCATGTCAATAAAAACACCATCCGGATCATTTAATATATAAGGTGTTTCATCTTCACAAATATCAATTTCATGAATTTGACTATTATCCTCTTGAAAAGATAGATCATTTAGTGTATGAGATTTTCTACTATGTTTGGAACATCTACAATTGAACGTGCCTTTATCTGACAAACAGCTAACCAATCATTCTGTGTCCTCTTTACTAAAGGATATGTTTCAAAATACACCTGAGAAGCTTGCACAGCCATAATAAATGGCTCATATTTATTAAAAGTTCTTCTTCTATTAACATCAACAAGATTATATTGTGGATGTACTCTTGTACCATGTTTTGGTGTTGGATCAAACCAAGAACATTTAAATAATACGGTTCGCTTAAATGGTAATGCATGATACTCTAGCTGCAGAATTTCTGTCAATATACCATAATAATCGATCTCATCTGCACTGTGACTAGAGCCCTTAATGCATATACCACTATTCATTGTAGATTTATTTGAACCGTATTCTTCAGTGTGAAATTTGTAACTATTCACAACATATCCATTAAAGGGTTGAACCTTATGCAAGGGCCCTTCTGCAAGATCTTTCATGAATTGATTGGTAATGCCGGATGAAGGATCACGTGCCTATTGACATTATAAGTAATTAGGAATACATTAAGATTATATTGAATTTACTGTAGAGATTAATTTAGATCTATTAGTACTTACATATTGATTAAACCAAGACGCAAACTTTGTTTCAAGTTTAGCATCAATCTCACTATCTTGAATACATGGTTGTATTTGTCTCAAGGTATCCTAAAAAATTCTAAAGAAAAAAAAAGCTAATTTAGTTCAATAACTTCAAATGTAAATAATATGTATATTTAGATCATGGTAATTAACTTACTTTATATATGGTTTCACTTCATCACAATTCAACAAAATATATGTCCGAGCTGCATGATATTCTCTATCATCTAACCTTCTTATTTTCTTTTTACCAAAACCACGACCAACATGCTTGAAAACAGACAACATTTCAGGATGGTCCTCTCCAACCCCACCATCATCCGCATTTCGTGGCACTTTTCTATATCTTGTCGAAATGTCTAACTTAAAGTAGTGCGTACAAAGTGTTGATGATTCTTTAACCAAACATGCGTTGCGTATACAACCTTCAACTCTATTCTTATTTTTGATATCATACTTCACCCCATGGAGTTTCCTTCAAACATAATGTAAGTATGTCAATATAGTATCACTAGTATATTTATATATCTTATAATATATAATTAACTTAAGTTACCTTTCACATGGATACATCCATCGTTCTTGAACTGGGCCTGCTAAACATGCTTCATAAGCTAAATGGATGGGAAGATGTTCCATAGAATCCCAGAAGCTTGGAGGAAAAATGCGCTCAAGCTTAGTCAAGATGAGAGGAATATTTCTTTCTAATTGTCTCATGTGTTCCTCAGTTATTGCGGTAGAAATGAGATCTTAAAAAAAAGACTCAACTCTGTCAATGGTTCCCACACATTTCGTGGAAGCAAATCTCAAAATGCAATAGGTATGAGCCGTTGCATAAATACATGACAATCATGATTCTTCATACCAAAGAGTTTAAGCTTGTTCATATCAACACATCTTCCCATGTTAGACACATAACCATCAGGAAATCTCAACTCTTGCAACCACTTACAAAGCACTTTTTTGGCATTATCATCTAACATGTAACAAGCTTTTGGGTACTTTTTAGTAGTTTCATCCTGATGCAACTCTGGACGATTGCAAAGTACTTTTAAATCTTCTCTAGATTTGGCATTGTCTTTTGTTTTTCCCTTGACATTCATGATGGTGTTAAAAATGTTATCAAACACATTTTTTTCTATGTGCATCACATCAAGGTTATGCCTAATAAGATTTGTTTTCCAGTAAGGCAAGTCCCAAAATATACTTATTTTCTTCCAACCACATAAGCTACTCTTTGAGATTCTTGCATTCACCTTGTCAGAACCAAGTTCTGTCACTTTCATGAGTCCCAAATCCTCAATCTCCCTAAGTATTTGTAAACCTGATTGTTCAGTAGATGCAACCTTATGTACTATTTGACCCTTCTTGAACCACTTTTTGTTTTTTCGCCATGGATGATCTGGTGGTAAAAACTTTCTGTGATTGTCAAACCATGAGACTTTTCTACCATTGGATAGTGAAAAAGCATCAGAATCTTTCATGCAATAAGGACAAGCTAATTTTCCTGCTGTACTCCAACCCGACAACATTGAGTACGTTGGAAAATCACTTATTGTCCACATCAATGCAACTTGCATTTGAAAATTATTTTTACTTGAAACATCATATGTTTGGACTCCCACCTCCCATAATTCTTTCAACTCTTCAATGAGGGGTTGCAAAAAGACATCAATTTTCTGTTTTGGATTTTTTGGACCAGGTATAATCACAGATAAAAACATGTATTCATCCTTCATGCACATTCAAGGTGGTAAATTATATGGTGTAACTATCACAAGCCAAGAGGAATATTGTTGGCCTGATTGACCAAATGGTTGAAACCCATCAGTAGACAAACCCAATCTAACATTTCTAACTTCAGATGCAAAATGTGGATACGTCTGATCAAAATGTTTCCAAGCAGGAGAGTCTGAGGGATGACGCATGACACCATCTCTTTCATGCTCTGAATGCCATCTCATATGTTTTGCTGTTGCATTAGATGCATACAACCTTTGTAGACGTGGAGTTAAAGGAAAATAATACATCTTCTTATAAGAAATATTAGTTTTCTTCTTGGAACGTTGATGTTTTGATCTCTTAAATCGAGGATGAGAGAAAAATTTGCAATTGATTAGTTCATTGTCCTCACGCCAATAAAGCATACATCCATTTTTGCAACAATCAATCTTCTCGACTAGCAAGCCTAATCCTCGCATTAGCTTTTTAGTACCATAGAAGCTATCGATCATTTTGTTATCACTTGGCATCAACTCTGATATAAACTGACATAACTCATCATACAACCTTTCCAAAAAATGATGTCTGCCTTAAGATTCAACAAACGAGCAACAACAGACAATTGTGTATGTCCATGTGGATTTCCCGTCCAAATCTCTTGTTCTGATGCTTTGAGCATATCATAAATATGTTGTGTTGTTGGATTTGGGTCCTCTTTCACGTTACCATTATAAGAAGGCCCAGCAACATCAAAAACCAATGACCGGAATGCATTATGGGATTGAGGATTCACGGTTTCACTAGAAGCTTCTTCTTGATGATCATTAAGCACACTTGGATTTGAAATATAACTTTCTCCATGGTGATACCAATGATAATAATTCGGTACAAAGCCATAAGTTCCTAGATGTGTCATAACTGTAAACTCATCCAAAATATTTTTATTTCGACACTTACGATGATTACAAGGACATCTTAACTTCTCACCATCCATGCACTGTGGATGTCTTTTAGCAAATGCAACAAAGTTCTCAACTCCATCAATAAACTTTGGATTTATGAATCCATCATCCAGTATTCTAACATACATCCACTCACGATCAGAGTTACTCATATTATATACTCTAACACAAATAATAAATGTGTTAAAACTTACATGATGACTACTAATTTTTATATGACACTAGAACCTAGAGGTAGCAAAATATAATGAATTCAAATTCATAAACAATCAGTTAATCATCAAATGTTATAGTAGTTAGTGTTGTACAATTTAAATGCACACTAGAAATAGTGTACTATTTTATTTTAAATAATACTACATGTCAAGGTGATCATGTAAAAACAGATATGCCAAAGATGTATTCAATTTATAAGCTTCATTCTACTCGTACGCCACCAATATCATTTTTAGTGATTTAATTACTACGAAGAAGAAACTAACCTTTAGCAAATGTGATAATATGTTTTGTATCCTACTTGGTCACATAAAATAAATGCTTTAAGATGTAAATTATCCTCTTACCTAACTTAAGCAATGATAGAAACACCAATGTAGAAATCTTCCAGAAACTAATGGACATAAATGAACTACCTGAAAAAGTTTATAGAACAAAAGAGAATGAGATGAAAATTGATGTAAAAGAGAGTATTTTCTAATAAATTAAAAGCACGAGTTGATGAAGATTCTTTTTTCTCTTTAGAATATACATAATTACATTGTTCTTTAGGAACAAGCAAATAAATAGATGTTTAGTCATTAACAGATTGACATATGAAAACAAAAAATAGTATTCATGAAGTTGAAAAATTGTATTGAAAATTGAAATTGTGTTTGAACATGCATTTGACTTTAAAAAAAGAAGTTGAAGTTTTGTAAGTGAGTGAAATAATTTCAGTTCTTCAAATTTGAAACATTCACCTTCAAAAATCAACCAAATCGTTCTAATCTATAACCAAAAATATTTTTCGAAAAAAAATTTGTTATCTAACAGGACCTAATAAATGCAACAAGAGAATGCAATTCATCAAAATTGAAGCTAAGACCAACCATACATATGAACTTTAGATCAGCAATGACAACTCCAAATTTGTTTACTGTCCAAGAAAAACATAAAAAATATAAAAAAATTGAAAGAATAACAACACTATAGAGAAGATACCAATCATCAAAAAAGTTGTGAATTTTAGCACATCAATGACAAAATCTAATGGCAACATGCCTCCACTAAAGCTTGTTGTATGTGTAAATCTACGGTAACCCATATGAATACACACACATAAAAAAAAATTAAAACTTACACCCAAATCAGTTAGGTAAAGGATCCAATTTAATAATTTGATGAATACCCATAAAAAAGAGCTATATAATAGTGAAGAGTATAATGGACCCAATATCAAAAACTAAAAAATATTCACTTTATAACATCGATTCAAGAAAAATAGGGACGAATCTCAGCAAGAATATAAAGAATCAAAATATTGTTCATTGTAGATAAAATGAAAGGAAAAGATTCATACCTATGAGCAATATAGCAACGGAATCAAAGTTTAGATGAGTTCAAAATCACAACTATAGTGTTGAAAGAGTGAGAGGTAGAAGAAAGGAAGAACACCCATTGTAGTTCTTTCACTTCTCTCTTGAACCCTAATTTTCTAATGGAGTAAAGGAGTTAAAGGTGGGAAAACTAAAAGTGTTGAAAATTTTGGGGGAAAGTTAAAAGGTGATCTAATATTTTTTAAAATTTTCGCGGAAAAAATGGTTCATTAAGTTAAAGATTTTATAATTTGTTGTCTTTTTATTAAATTGAGACGGAATGTAAATCCGTCATAATTTTTGTGATGATTTTGTGACGACATATATTCATTTAGTTTTATTTGCTATCATTTTGTGACGGAAATGCTCTGTCACAAAACTTATATTAAATATTTGTTATAAATCTGTCACAAATCCGTCACTATCAGAATTTTAGTAGGTAAAAAAATTCTTTTAAAATTTTTTATTTATATAAGATTAATCTGTCACAAATCTGTCAAAATTCCGCGACAATTTGTGACAGACTTCTCCGTTCCAAATATTCCGTCACAATTTTACTCTTTTCTTGTAGTGTCCCGTTATAGCAGCCTCGCCCTGGTGGAAATAATTCCGCCACAGCGGCTTGCACGAAAACAGTGAGTCGAATTAAGAGTTTCAAACCCCCACTTTACAACACACCTTCAGCCCATGACACTCAGAACATACTCGTTCACGCTAAGATCAGTTTTGAGAGTTTTACTCGCCCGAATTTAATTCCGTAAATTCGTACAAATTCCTTAACGTCTTAGCTATCTACTCATGCAATCAATTTCATTAGTACACTTTTCATTCATTACCAGATTTCCCTAGACTCGCCTGACTCCGATTTCGTCCAAATCTGGACTAGGCTAGGAAATTTCAAGTTACTACTCAAAAGTTTTTCTGGTCCAATTCTTTCCCCATTGGTTTTTTCCTAATGATGGAATCAGGTCGTTACAGTTAGCTATTGAGGGAAGGATTTACCAAGTCCATTTAAACAGACCACCACATTGCTTGGGGAATGGATTGGTGATCTGGTTAAATTGATTTGGGCAATCTTCCCCTCATGA